TATATAAATGAAGTCCCATCGAACATCTTCATCCGCCAGAGTCTTAGAATACCAAGACTCTACCAAGCATCTGGAATTCTCCTGAGAATCTCCTGATCTATGCGGTGGATGATGAAGAATCCTACTTCTCCACATTTTCTCCCACTCATCATCAAATCATGATCCTCTCTAGAGAAAACCCCTCCTGAAACCCCTGTCACATTGAAGAGACCAACACACTATCAGATAATAACAAATGAATAGCTATGAATGGATCGGTTGGGCCGGAGTCAGTTTTGGAATCAGTTTGGCAGTGTGACTGGGATAGGAAGGAGAACAAGAGGAGGTTGTGATGAAGATCAAGATTCTAGGAGCTAGAAACCCACTTCATCTCCAGGGATTCCAACCATCCTTCCCTGTAAACATGAATGATTTAAAGCCCCACTGCACTATAGCTACTTGCGCCCTCTATATAGCAAACAATGCCTAATCGGTGACCATTGGTCCCACATGGTCCCCTTTTTCCTTTGCTAATTGACAAGTGATTTGATCAGATAACCACCTGTCGGTGACCATGCAGGGAGGTCTAATCCCTCCTGGCCAAACTATAGAGCAGTGGGGCTTTAAGCAAGTGCTGAATGGTGAAAGTGGACAACAAGTGATAGAGGATCTCCTAACTTCCTACAAGACATGGGACAATCGCAACTAAGCCATTCATTCACAATTAAACACTCTATTCCAAGAATGAGGTATAGTTGGAGGGGGGGGGGTGAGCAATCGGGCTGGAAGAAAAATCCTTCCTGAAGAAATCTGGTTACCATGCCAAAAAGTCTCTTCAATCAAATTTGCAGAATTCTAAGGACTAAAACCCAAGTTTGTGGTGGCCACAAACGATCAACTCCATACAGTAGAGTCTCCTCTTTATTCTGCATCTTGACCCCCTCTGGTCTGCCTAAACCTTATACCTCCAGTGGACAGTCACTTAGGGGTTCGCCAAAAATCTTGTCCACACTGACCAGCGCCCCGTCGCATAAAACTCACCTTTGATGGTAACTTTGCCATCAATGGCAACTACCATGGTAACAGGGCTCAACAGCCAATACAAATCAAGGTTTCCATGGTAGTTACCATTGACGGCAAAGTTACCATCAATGGTAAGTTTTGTGCAAAGTGGGCAGGTCAGTACTACCAATATTAAGCAACTTTGGTGCACTCCATAAAAAAATTCTCAAAGTAAACAGGGTCTAAGAAATTATCGGGGTAAAGCAAAGATTATCTATTTTTTAGAAGGTTTAGAGTCCAATGAAGAGGGGAAAAATCATTACCTGGCACTTTGATGATCATGCCTACATAACTTCCTGTATTAGATCATCTTGGGATATGTCTAACCTCATACTTCCTCCTATGATAGCTAGCATGGTCAAGCCAAGACTTTTATAATAAAGATTCTCAACAAAAGGATTAGTTTCTTCTTCTATCGTCCCAGACCCAGTTCAAGAAAGACTTCCTTTCGTCCTCTTGCTAACCTTTCCAGTTTATAATTTTCAATCTTTTATATGATAGTTTGAGCCTTTCTCTTTCCACCGCCATCATGAATCGTTTTCACATTCTAGAATAAAATATAATTTCTGTCTTTGAAAAACACCATATCAGCATGTCAGCTGCAAGCATTAAGGCACTCACTACCAGGAATTAATTCCTTGAAATGCTAGAGCGCCACAATGACAGCACACCTAAAGCCGGGGTAATAATCTCCAAGTTTGGAAGCGCTTAGAGACTTGTAATTTGCGCTATATAAAAGCTGAGTATTATTATTATTATTATTAACGATATATAGCTCTCAACAGCCTTCTTGCCGGTCAGCAAACAATTATGCGGCCTAGCATGACGCCCTGCTAATTTTAATATTCTATAGAACTAAAAAAATAGATACCATTGTTACATGTTTAAAATAAAAATGACCGTGTGATAGTCTGGTCATGCTATAAAGCAAATCCAAGCTGACTGACAACTGGAAAAATATTTGCAATTCAGGGTAATGTATTTTATTTTTACCAGTCTACTGTCAGTCTGTTATGGTATTGTTGGTTTTAATAATAATAATAATAATACTCAGTTTGTATATAGCGCTTATTACAATCACTAAGCGCTTCCAAACTTGAAGATTATTACCCCGGCTGTGGTATGATGATCAAAGTTTCATTGACCAGTGTCCAAAACCTGCGAGCTTTTCTCATAACTTATATCTGAATATTTGAAAGGTGAAGCAATGATCAAGCATACCCTTTAGAATTCAAAACTGTGATATTTGCTCAATGGAATAACTTCATTTTAATACAACTGTTGTCTACTGGAATCCTTGTGGGTATATTACCCTATGGCCTACTCATTTCTGAGTCAATAGTTTGAAGCAGTTGGAAATGATTCTTTGAAGAGGTACAAAAACTGGTTATCAGACAGGTTATTACACAGACAGGGAAGTGACGGAACTTTAATTCAAACTCTTGAGGGGCACAACCATATACTATCAGTCTACAGCTCCTATTGTCCTGAGAAACTAGACAACATGGTGAATGACAGCCAAACTGCCTTCTCCAAAACATGGTCTTCTTTTCTACGTGTCGTGATTTCACCAATGATATTCAGTTAGCATTCATTACAATTGTCATGGAACAGGAACAAATATAAAAGCATTATTCCAAAGCAGCATGCTGGTCTGTCAACATCCTTTTCATGGCCGGTTGTATTTGTACAGATTACCCGTTTGGTGAATACAGGGTTGACAATGAACCAGAAATACACACACGCGGCCTGTCCTCATCAGCTCGAGATTGCAAAATAGCCAGCTATTTCTGATTTGGGAAATAATCCCAAAGTTACAAATCGTGTCTTCATCAGCTCGAGACTTTACCTCGAAACTTGAAACTCAAGCTCAAGATATTTTGCTCAGCATTCGCGCATATAGTGCGAGTCTTCGGGCTGGTGAAGATATTTTGCCAAATAGCGGGATATTTTGCAAACTAACCAAGATATCTTGGGATGATTATCTCGACCAAATATCTTGCTAATTGCAACTTCAGGCTGGTGAAGACGCAAACTAATTGGATGATTTGCGATCATGATAACTAAAATAGCGGGCTATTTGGCAATCTCGAGCTGATGAAGACAGGCTTATAGAATCAAGACAAATCATCTTCTTTGAGCTTCCTGCAAGAAACCAATTCTATTTGACTAAAAAAATCAAGGTGTGAATCTAAACACTGATTGGCGGAAAGGTCCTCTGGTGTTTGTTTATAACCTTGAGCAAATGAAACCATACACATTGTTTCGGAGCTCTAGTATATGTTATCGGAAGATCCAACACATTTCTACTATTTACAGTAACCTCCGTCTTCAAACAATGTCACACGTTCGGATTCATTCAATTCTATACATCCATTTCTATACAAAAAAAATCTATTGATCAACCATTCCCCTGAGTGACATGTGTGACAAAATGTTTTTCAACTTGTGGGAATAACATGAACAATGTCCAGGGTTTTCCTTTTCTTATCCTTTGTTTTGGTGGATATCTACATATATTATGTGCTGGGAAAATGTAATCTCTCCAGTAATATGATGAAACACTACACTCTCGTCTATTTATTACAACTGAAAAAAGTGCACATACTCTCCTTCATACTACCAAAATTAGTTACATCGTGAGCATGTACTAATGACTGGCTAGCTGTAATGTCAAATGACCTCTTTAAAACAAATTCTATATACCCCGGTACAACATTTTTAAATGTAATATCGTTATATAAACAGTATGTTTATTACTATCGCTATGACGATTCTATACACCTTTCTTTGTACTCAGAAGTATGAACAGGCCAGCAAGAAAAGAGCTTACGTGATCTTTAATACAACCATTTTGTTTGAGATTTGGAATCCATAACAACCCACGCCTACGTGTGATACGTGTTCAAACCAACAACACACTGCATCGGTTTGGAGTAAAAAATGAGTCAACGTGTTTAAACCAATAACATATTTATGTATCCGTTAGAGTAAAACGAGTAAATAGAACGGGTAAACATGTCAGGATTTATATTCAAAGCCTTTCTTTTCAGCCTTTAGTAGTAGAGGGTACAGGTTAATTCACAACAATATGATACAAATATACTCTAATGATAATGAAATGGAAAAGTTGTTGTGATACAAATATCTTTCTTTCTTTTTCCTGTTCTTTCCATTTCTCCCATCCACTCTCTCACTCTTTCTTCCTCACCTATCTCTCCTTCTCTTTCCTTCCCTCTCTATTGCTCTCTCCCTCTTCCTCGTTCTCTCTCCCCTTCTCTCATCCTCACTTTTCTTTTTTTATCTCTCTACAATCTATATTTCTAACATTTCCTTGATTTCTCTGTATACTGGAAGAATTAAGAATTTTGTAGAAAAAAATTACTAATGAAAAGTAATGGTTACATCAAACAGGAGAACGTTATTGAGACATTTTCCTGTAAAACTGAAGTAAGATACCAAACATACATTTGGAGACCAAACAGTTTCATATTAGATTTAGGGTTATAGTTAAGCAAAGTGGTGGGTCCTCAGTTGAGATCAGGGATTCCAGTAATGTATGGAACAGACCAAGGGGCCCGTGCAAGTGTCATAGGAGCATTTGTGGTATCATCATTCCTAGGCCCTGTTTCACAAAGACTAAGATCGACTTTAAGTTGGACTTAACTATGACAGGCCATTCATGCCACTGGTTGCTCTCACTATTGGTCTCATGATTATGATCTTTAGATATCTTTTCCTTCAATAATGAACCATCAAAAAATGTAAATTCTGTAGATTTGTGACCACGATTTATATGTCCCTTCAAAGACCAATGCCAGTAAATGGTTAGAGCAAACAGTGGCATGAACGGCCTGCCATAGTTAAGTCCAACTTATAGTCGATCTTAGTCTTTGTGAAACACCCCCTGGAGATCAGCTTCTAACATGGAATCCAAAGACTTGATAAGAATAGCATACCTTGCATAGACCATCATCTTGGTAGCTAGTGCCTTGCTGATGCAGAACCCTGCCCCTCCAGTCGCAAACCAAAATGATACTCTCTGATGGTAAAAAAAAAAAAAGACAAATGAAAGGAGAGAATAAGAATTCATAAAATTATGAGGAGTATAAAGAACTTATGGGTATGTGTGAATCATAAAAATCAGCACCATATAATTCAATGATAGATAAAGAGAGGTAATACAAAATTATGGGATTCGATATAAAACCAAAAGCAGATATCCTTTTGAGGTTACCTGTTAAGTTACACCCTAACCCACAATGAGATATGAACTTTAATAAGAGGATTATTATTCTTTCTCTCACACTTTCTTACAAAGAAAGAATAGGATCAAAAACATCAAATAAATAGAGCAAGAAATGCAAGGACACCTACTATTTGTTAGATTTTGTATTGATTGATGATGGAACAATCAGAAAATTTGGTAACCTTTCTGAATTCATCTATGATTCTTCTTTGAGTTCTTTTATATTTAACAGCAGAAAATCCCCTTTCGTTTCAGCGCTATATCTCCGGTGGACCATGTCTGTTTCTATTGTATCGATAGCTTCCGTCTTACAATACTGTTTGCAAAATGACTACAAAGACGTTTTATGATTGCTCATCATCAAATCCGAGTATCGTGTGAAATTCTCTCCTAATACCATGTACTTCAAGATCATTTTAAATCCCTAATTTTTTTCCCCTGACGTCATAATCTGTCTATAGCAAATCTAACTTTTTCTTCTGTTGACATCTACTGTGTAGATCAATTTGTTTAAAGTGTTGGAAAACTGATGTTAGAAAAAAGAAAGTCAAAGTGGTTTTATTAGCCCGGTCTTCCTGCGCGCCCTGCAATTAATTTACTTCAGCATTGCCTGTACCCATTTATTCACCTGGGTAGAGTGTGGCAAATGTGCTTGGACTAATGTCTTGTCAAACGACGTTAGCGCCGGGCTGGGATTTGGACCCTCAACCCTTAGCTTGAAAGTCAAGTGAATGAACCACTAAACCATGACACCTCCACAAAATGATTATTGTCAAAGATAAATGTACTTTCTTTTGTTTATATGCATTTATGGCTTGAAATTTCAGTTTTCATCTGAAATTTCTTTTGCAGAAATATATAATTTTTCTTCCTGTATGGCTTCATGCTACCCCAACAGAGATGGTATTGACTTTTGTGTCAGTTCATTTTCAATGCCTTTAAGCAATTTACTACAAGAAAGGCAAACATTATCATGATGGATAGATCTCGTTAATTCTTCTTTTATCAATCTCCTTCCCATTCAACGTCCTATGCCTGATTGACTATGACACAATCGAGTAATCTTTTGATAAATAAAAGTCAAGCAATTTTAATTTGGAGTGAAATGAGCTGATAGTAGGTTTAACTTCCTCATTCTTCCAACATCTTTATAAGCACCGTTTTATTATTATTATTAACGTGTGCAAGTTTAACGCATTACCTCAAGAATCAACTAATAATTGAACATTTGTCATGCTCATGAGAAAGAAACAATAATGTACTCAACGAACCACTTGCAGTGACATAAAACATCTCAATCAGAGGAGAGAGCAATGCTTATTCCGTTTATCATAAAACTTCATTTATCTCTTTTTGAATTTTCAAAATGAATGAACATTACAGTTTTCTTCTGATAAAAGTATTGCACTTTTTCAGGGTCCTTTGCATTGACTGAAAATTCTGAACTTGAGCACAATGGTGCTTTTTATTCTTGTGATTCTTTAAATAAATCTGCTTTTTAAGTTTCCTTCATTATGACGTGTGTTTATTGTGTCTCTCCCTGTGAGTGAAATCACATTTTATTCCTTATTGCTGGATTAATTAAGTTACTGTACTAAAACATAATCTTTACTTTCTACCAAAATGAAATGAAACTGCCCATTACAATGTGGATTTTACATTAAGTTTTTTATTTGAACAATGTTTTTTCAAATTGGTTTTTCTGTAATGTAAATGAGCCAAGAGATTCCTCCAGAAATGGCTCATGCCTCCACTTCCTGGCTTCTTTAATCATTCTCCTTGATATAATCTCTGCTTCGTTTCCTCTGCTTGATCCCATCTTTCGTTTCTGTCTTACCAAACCTCAATCCCTTCAAGGAAACCTCGCTGGCAGAAGACTCCATTATGATCTTGAACAAATCGCAGTAGAATGAAGCTACTTGCAGGAAAATGGTGCATACATCATCACATAAATGTGGCTTGCTCTAACTTAGTAATAGGTTACTTTCCCAGTCTTTACCAAGACTGGGATAGGTTCTTACCTGATTTGTGTCTCTAACTAAAGCTTCTATAGGATGACTGAGGCTTGCTCTAACTCAGTAATGGGTTACTTTACCAGTCTTTACCAAGACTGTGATAGGTTCTTACCTGATTTGTGTCTCTATCTAAAGCTTCTATAGGATGACTGAGGCTTGCTCTACCAAGGTAATGATCTTGATTATGATCAAACTGCCTGAGTAACTTCATCAGCTCTGGTACATTGAGATAGTTGTCATCATCAACATGACATAACCACCTGAAAGATTGAATTAAAGCATGAAAACATGTTGTATATTGCTTCTATACACAATGGCTGATGTCTGGTCTGATGAACTGACACATTTAGAAATAGAGAGGGGACAGGGAGAGAAAGGAAGATGGGGGAAAGGAGACAAGGAGAAGGGGTGGAGAAGGGGAGGGGAGGGAACGGAAGGAGGGGAGGGGAGGGGAGGGGAGGAAAGGAGGGGAGGGGAGGGGAGGGGGGAGGGGAGGAGGGGAGGGGAGGGGAGGGGAGGGGAGAGGGAAGGGAGAGAGTGGATGGGAAGAGAGGGCTAAATGGGGAGGGGATAGGGGGAGAAGGGATAGGGAAGAGATGAAGCTTTAATTAGGCACTACTCAACCTTTATTAATAATGCTTAAGTTTCATATACAGTTTATTTGACCTGTCAGTTTTTTGATCGACAACTTTAATCAAGCCCTTCGCAGCTAGATCAAGATTGCAAGAGTAAAGAACATTGAAGGTTAATGCAGTAATGTCACGTAGAACATGGTAATCTTCACTGAGTGATGGATGATGAAGCTCTGCGCCCTAAACTTATGACTGATAATCTTGGCTTAGGGACCCTGATGATTCAATACAGTACTAAGCTAGTCGCAGTCACGGAAGTCACAAGACAACTACTATAATGGTAGATTGTAAATAGTAGCCAATAATGTAAGACAAAATCATAAGTTTCTTTGGTAAAGAAATGCATGCAAAACTTGAACAATTGCTCAATAGCTTTGAGAAATAAAACCCAATAAATTGACCATCTAATAGAAGTCACTTTGGATATATTTTCCCGAACCACAATAATCTCTAGCTTATATTGAATTATTTTACATTTCCTATAGAATGAATAACATTACTACCAATTAGACCGAGAATTGTTCTTTCCAGGAGTCTTCTAAAGTGACTGACTTTCTCGACAGTCCAACTGCCTCTAGGTCAAAGATTATCTCAGAAAGCAGGCAATTATATACAAGTAAGTATTGGGAAAATCAGCTGGAATCCACTTTAAAATCGCTGCAAGTCTGGGGTTCCTGTTACAGAACTATCACAAGAAAGTACTTATTAGGTTCCTTGCAATAATAAGAATTGACAATAAAAGTCAGAATTTTAATAAGGATTCCACTTTAAATTGCTGCAAGTCTGACGTTTGTGTTACAGAATTCTCATAAGAAATATGGTAATAGGTTCTTGAATTAATATGAATTGACACAACAAACATGTAATGTAAAAAATTTAAGTAGATTAATAATGAAAGAAGAAACATTTTACAGCTTTAAACTAAGTCCACTGTACATTTTATTAATTATGATGTCTATACTACAAATTGTACAGAACTATAATGGAGAACAAATAATGATTTATGAATATATTGAATAATTGGTTCTTCAAATTTTAGAACTGCAGATAAATAATGCAGTTATTTAAAACAGAGTCCACTTTGAATCACTCATGCCCACCAGTCTGAGTTTTGAATTCAGGATTGAGGTTATCAGATTGTTGAAATATTGGGAAAATTAATGAAAAATGCCTTTATAAAATCACAGAAAGTATGGGTTTATATTACAGAACTTTAATTAAGAGGATGAACGTATCAGGTTCTTATCTTAATAGATACATATTGATAGTAGGTCCTATAACAAAAGTGGTTCACATTACTGCTTCAACAAGCAACAAGATGTATTGATAATGTGAAATCGATACGATTTTATCATCAAATCTAATGTATAAAAGCTTGTTTAGATCCATTACAGAATAACAAAGTACCTGTTGATAGAAATTAAAGAAAACAAAGAAGGGTATCAAACAAAAATGGAATTGAGAAGGAAACCAGTTTTAAAACTGATTAAAAGCATAAAAAGGACAGGTTCATGAGGGGGGAATCGTAAGGAAAATACTAAGTAGATAATTTAAATGATTCAATGTCGAAAAGAGATTCTCACCTTTTATCAGATTTATAAAACATACTGAAAATCTTGGAGGTTTTACAACACAGGGCCAATCTGTAGAGAAGAGAGGAGAAGAATAAAAACATAAGCCTAACCAAAGATCAAGCACGTTTACATCAAAAAGAAAAACAATTACAAAAGTATGATCTATATTTTTTTTTCAATTTAATTTCTTTACATTAGAAATCAAAATCTATTCATACTTTGAAAGAATAACAATTGAATACATGTATAAAAAACAATCATATACCCGACTGTATCTGTAATCATTATGGATAATTATGGATAAAATTACAATGAATATAATAGACCCGTGGAAAAGCTGAATTGCACTAAAATATTTTCTAAAATATAACCATACCCTTCACTAATTTACCTCACATTTTAGGAGTCTTAACAAAAGAGAATATATGATGACCGATTCATTTCATTTCTTATTGATACCTGAATTGCCTTTACAAAAATGAAATTATCTATATTATTGGGGAAATCCTTACCTTGAGTGTGTTCCTTGGCACTCTGTGTTAACCATGTGACCATCTGAAAACAAAGATAGAATTATGAACATTATTAATACTTCATACACCCTTATGTCTATTTCATTGATCCATTTGAACATGCATGTAACTATATCTTGAAAATAGGATTATATCTTGAAAATAGAATTATATACATTAAATCTCTCAATCCAGTCATCCTCTACATATTTGGTGACTGGATTCATGGTTTGACAGCCAGAAGGGCATTAACTCATATTATTCTACATTAAAGCCTCACTGTACTACTTGTAGCTACTTGCGCCCTCTATATAGCAAACAATGCCTAATCGGTGCCTGTTGGTCCCCCATGATCCCCTTTTTCTTATGTTAAGTAAGAGCTGATTTGATGAGATAACCACCTGCCAGTGACCATGCAGGGTGGTATAATCCCACCTGGCCTAACTAGGGCAGACAGGCTTTAAGTGACATCTTTTTGGCTGTTCATAGATGATAATACTGCTAACAATAAATTTTATAGTTCTTTTTATCACAAGACAAGTCCATAACTATGGCCTAACTCAATAGGAATTACTCATAAAAAATCAAACACAAATGACGAATTGCATTTGTGTCATGTAATAACATTTCAAATGGTCACTGTGAATAAAGGCAAAATGACCTTTAAGTGACCATTAGAGTCATATTGACCACAGACACCAATGGGTGTTGTATCATGATGCAAACTGACCAGAGGAAATGAAAATCGGAAGGCTCGATCCAGCCGATTGTCAAAGGTCGGTCAAGAGTCGCCCAGGCCTAGTTTCCTAGAGACACCACGGTTCTACAATTTGTTCTTGGCAAACACTGGTATCACCGTCACGCTATCCAAACACAATCAAAAATGGTAATTTTAAAATACCTTTCCCTATACCTCATAATAATTCTAACCAAAGACTTCTAGAAAAGGGATTACATTGAGTAGGAGGAAGTTCAAGGGTGTTTGTTCATCATATTTTGACTGGATGGATCAAAGGATGGATCAAAGGACGGACAATCATCTTCAGAGTCGGCAAACACTCCCTCTCTTAGGAGTCTTCAAGAAATCCACCAGGACAACACACAACCTTACTAGTCAATATTGGTAGGCATTCCCCCGAGGCTATGTCACAGGTTGCATAGGAATTGGAATGCTATGATACGATTAATATTTTAGAATTCATCAGAATCGGTGCATCTCTCAAAGAGCCCCGCCTTCATGTTTTGACGGAAATAATTGGTCCTCTCTTTCGTATCTTCAACATGGATGATAGAGTATTTGCACTGCGAAGTACTGAATATTTTAACTGTTCTTCTCTTAGCTGTCATTCATTTTGACAAGTTTAATTGTCATAAGTGGTACGTGAAATCACCTCTTGTTATTACAAAAAAGACTCAGTTGAGAGGCAACAAGGATTGAATGTGATGTAGTGAGACCAGACTAAGTGTCTGTTTTTTTAAATAAATATATATATATATATATATATATATTGGTCTTGAAAAAATTCTAAATGAATCTTATCAAAGCATTCCTCCTATAAGTCTGGACTACACAAACACCACCAATTGCCCACTAGGTTTTCAAATTTGTTATACATACATAATTTTCCATTTCGATTCTCAATTACATTTCTAGCTTTTCACAGAGTCCATCATATACCCCTGTTAAATTAACTCTGAGTAGAGGTCAATAAACAGAGGCACTTCACAACAATATTGATCACTTCTTTTTCAAAGAAAAGAGTTAAAATACCATCACGAACCATCGAGCACGCATCTGATCTCACCGACCGACCAACAACTCACTATTTGTTCCTGGATTACAAATAAAGCTACCTGATGATCCATTGAGTTACCTTTGATTGATCATAATAAGAAGTATACAATTCTACCTGCTCTCCATTTTAGTGAATAAAGACAAGTTTGTCTGAATCACTTGATGATAATGGGGCACAAAAGAATGTTAATGCAAAGACTTGGTGAAAAAAATTAATCACTGCTTTGCAAACAATTCTACAAACACACAGTGTGTATAGGGTAAAGAGAACAAGTGGTCGTCCAAATACCAGAACAGGTCTTACTTTTACAATACCTCTCAGCCTAAACTAAAAGCTAACCATTAACCTGTCTCATTGAAAAAAGCATAAATTAATCTACTTAACCAGGTGTGACTGCAAACATTAATGGTAGAATTACAAAATGGTCCCTATAACTGATAATATTTACAGAAAAGGGAAATATATTGCACTAAGATCATGACTTGTTAAACTGGATTTTGTCACAATCAAAATCCCCACTCCCCTCCCATTATAGTACAAATACTTGGAGGGAATTGAATGTTTTCCATTGTGGAGACAATTACATTTTCCTCATACATTCTTTTCCCCACAGATCCAAAATGATCTCGGGCTTGGTATTGTAATAGTTTAAAAATTTGACATTGGAACTGTGAAATGGATGATTTGATCAGTTTAAAATGGCACATGTTTTTTCTTTAAGCTCTCCAATAATTGCATTATGTCTAAACATCCACTTATCTCAGGATATTGAGTAACACCACCTTCCGTAAATAAGAGGCTAAGTTTTATTTGTTTAAGGTTTTGGATTGATTTTCCATCTCAATGACATACCAAAGTCACTCTTTACTTGATCCTTTTCTGAATAAATAGGTCCAGAAAAGGAAAACATTGATAAATGTTTGAAACTTTTGCTCAAGACAGTAAAAAAAAAAGGATAGAGGATATTTAAACTGATGAAAAACAATAATTTCTAAGGTATATATTTTGATTAAATTCTTCTGCAGGTCAGCTCACTACAACCATTTGCAGAGGTTGAGCTCTAAGCTCGTTTCATAGACCCAACTAGCTCCTTCTATCCTTGGCCCTTTTCTTCTTCTTGGATAATAAGGACCCCTTAAATTCAGAATAAAACTTTGGGGGAATAGGAATGGACACCAGAGAGTTCTACTAAAATCACAATGAACTCACAAATTACACTACTACATCAAAGTGGGTCAAAAATATTCAGAAGAGTAACAAGAAATATATACTGGTTGGAAAAATTATTTGATGAACATTCCATTGTACTCCTGGGTATCATTTAGGATGATTTGATATTGATTTACTCATAATAACCTCAACCTGTTCTCATTTTTATGAAGGATTTATGAGCGCGTCTCTCCCTTCTCCAGGCTCTGAACAGATGGTAACTATTGAAAACCAGACAAAGGTACAAGCAAATGGGAGTTTTATTGTTTCTTTTATGTTTCAAGTTTCATTTGTGGTGTGTTTTCATTCCATATTTGTTTGTTATTATTGCTATGTTTAGTTAAGTTCACTTGGGACGGTCGTAGTTTTAAACTTTAAGTTTGCGAAACCTCAAAGTATTAAACACGGCCCACTAACTATGAGAGTTTACACAGACAAAAAACAATGTGTATTCAAAGTTTTAAACTACAACCTGTGTAAGCATTCAATTAAAGGGATCGTTTAACACTGTTAAATCTGAGATGCCCTGAAAAGCCCTACGTCTTATCAGTGTCTGTGATATGGTGTTATATTGAAGCCCTAAAAAAATTGCGCTTCAAAATGATCAAGAAGTGCCTCAAAAAAGTAAAAACCTTTGAATGACCAGTTTTACCATACTCGTTTTCCCCAATAGACTGTACTGTTGCTAAACGGTTTTCAAAATTTGTAATTCCAATCATAAATATCTTCATAATCAGACGGGCGATCGGCTTGTACAATTCATGGGGTTCCTGACTGACCTAAAGGTTTTTAATTATTATTGCAACATGAGCTAAATCAAGGATTTTTTTAAAGGATCTAAGACAAAGTTACCGGATCCCTTTTACTACAAGCTGGCAAAACCTTCTAGTAAAATGCATCTCCATGGTTTATAACTTCAAGCCAGAACCCCCTGCGTCTCGTTACGATGTCGACCAGAAGATCAATAATGGTTTGAGTACACTTGCACCTTATTAGTGTGTTCATACGGTCCACCACTACAAGATAACCTCAAAGTTTATAACCATGACCTAAAAACCTTATCTTTATGGACTGCCGTGTGAACATGGCTTTTGTACAGGGTAATTTGCCAGTTTTATCACCTTCTTACTGATGATGATGATAATTCGTCATGCTTCATTATCCTACAATTTTGTCTTTCATATTTCACCATGTTTTTATAAAATTTTTGTAACGTCATCATCCAAATGTATGTGAATAAACTAATCTGTTGATAAATGAGGGCTGTGGTTGAAAGGGTAGGTGTGGGAAACGATGATTCAAGATGAGAACAAAAAAAATATAACATCAAGTAGTTTGCTAAACATGTGCTTTATCTTATGTAGACTTTGGTAGTGGAAACAACACAATACCATGAGAACATCATGGAAGTTGATAAAATATGATGGAAGACAAAAAAAGAGAGAAATTTAACAGCAAGGAAGAACATACAGTAAAAAAAAAATAGTACATAGAAATAAAAAAGAGGTCGGATGAGAAAGCAGGTATGTGAATTAAAATATAAGCAGAAATTAGTTTATTTATGAAGAGATAGAAATATAATTCTGATTTATTGTTGAGAAGACATCAGGAATGTAATGGGGGTGGGCCAGGGTACAAAGAAGATAAATGGAACATCAATTTTAAGTAACGGAACAAGAAAAAAACATGAATTTGACTTACTTGATTTATCCTGATAATCTGAATCATCTACATCGGTGAAAAAGTATGTCTGTAAAATAGAATAAAGAAAGAAAGAAAATTAAACGTTAGCGCACTTCAGCAAATCAAAATACTCCTTCATGAATTTTTTTTAATTGTTATTCCCTTGATATTACATGAGTGGAAGTATACAACTGATATCCATAAATTAAGACATTATTAAAACCTTTATCTTACAGTATGCAATATGAAACAAACATTTATTGTCTTAAAAACGTGATATATTTCTGTAAAATCATTGAATGTCCTTTACATCAATACCTGTACATTTTTACTGAATTACTCAGGTTAATTCTAAGTAGGTCAATACCATTAACAATATCACAATGATTTGACATACCGAAGGTCTTCATTAATTTGAAAGTGCCCCTAGACTATCAAATACTCCCAATCTGATATTTCCTTTCTTGTGTCACTTTTCATTTCCTGCATTTAACACGTTCATTTCCAAAGGTCATGAGGTCATCATTAAATGATGTCATGAAAACCTGCCATGAATATGCGATGATAAAAGTGCAAAATGGAAACTAATCTGAAAATTAATAGCATGATTCATACGGTACTTCCCTGCTTATGCAATTTTTAACAAAAACTCACAGAACACTAGAATATTGCTGTCACATAAATTTGTAGGGTAAATTTGTGTTCAGTTTATGATGCCCATTTTGTTTGTTCAGAGCCAGAAGGGCGATATTTCTGTATTTCTGTATTTCTGACACTGCCCTTCTGGCTCCAAACAGATGATCTATGCTTTTTGAAACTGGGGTACTTCATCTGATGAGAGAGTAGGCATCATTAAGATAAAGTTGAGTTCTGGTCATGTGATTGCATTGTGAAAGAAACGTTGTGGAATCGATCAGAAAAGGTTGATCATCTAGCATGTAAGTATTGGTGTGTAATGCAAGGTTCTGGAATCATCAAAATTTGGCCCAGTCTTGGAAAGTTACAAGCACTGTACACAGAAAGATGTATATGGGACTACGCGATATCTATCCAGTCCAGATATACCAAATATATCAATTAGTAGGAGGTTTCCTGGCAAAGTTTTTATGATCACATGTTTATAGTCAAAACATATTCTTTCACATGATTGGTAATAAGAGTTTCCATTTCATTTTTTTAAGGGGAGGGGGGGCGTTTCCAAAACTGGTCTACCAGTATACCTTTAAACTCATACATGTGTTTGCCATCTTACAAAGAACTAGTGACATTCAGGCTCTCTGTCTCAGCTGACAATGTCTTCTGTTTGGAGCCAAAAGGGCATTAACTCATAAACTTAAACACAGAGTTAATGCCCTTCTGGCTCTCAACAATATGTGACTGTATATTCCCATTGTAATATGTTCAATGAAGGCGGATCTACTTTTAGCAACATTCAATCTCAGGTTTACAGCTAGAACCAATCATCACTTAATAAATCCTTTCCAACAGGGACCCAAGCAGGAAATACATTTTTTTTGTTTTTGTAAAATTTATAAAAATATTCTCACTATTCTGTATCACATGATTTGGAATTCTTCTCCCACAGAACCTCAAGTATGAAAGTATGAAAACATATATATTTCTGTTTTTTTCATCAATATATAAGCGAGGTACTAGGTAGAAAACCAGTCGGATGTAAACAGGTTGTATACTCCCTGCTGAGGCATTGTGGTAGCTAGCATGAGGTTAGAACTGAGATATCGCTCGTTTAATTCTGGCTTATTCAGTCAGAAAATACAATGCCACAATGGAAAATCCCCTCCTCAATAACACTGCCGGTGAATAGAATAGGTGTCGTTTGAGTAAATATCTTTGGGTTCGTCACCGGCCTACAAACAACCTACCCTGATTTTGTCATGTCTAAGCCGCTTCAAAGAGGAAATGAAAGGTGACAGCACTTCTCTCCAACAAGTTCAAGAAATTCAATAGGACTTACTTTAAATTTTAATAAACATAATGACATCATAAAGGTAGATTTGAAGTATGTAATGTCCACAAACCCAAATTATATCCCCGGAAATAATCCTGGTATATATTACAGACACATTTGTTTTTTTAACTTGACATAAATTTCATGAAATGATTATTAAGTACCAGTACATTATTAGACAAACAAAAGTTAAAACCAAACATAAATCCTCACTCACAGTTAGAGCTTCCTTATCTAATCCTAAAGGTGTGATAACATGTGAAATAATCCACGAATCAAAGATTTTGTAAAGTCTGAAAAGTCAATATTATTGCAGACTTCTCTTTGACTGTAAGCAACATGCTGAACTAATGTGAGTCACTTCCTACCGCAATGGTTTAGAGTCTAGATGTTAGGTCTTACAAAAGAAAGATATCAAAAAGAGTGTAACCTTGACGAGCTATGTTGACCTTGGTTCCTTACCTATCCATGCTGTTGTTTGATACTTATTATCCAAAGCTACAGGTGTGCTTCATTCTATTTTTTGATCTTTAATCTCTAAAACTAATTCCCGAATCCTTACAAAGCATCTTTTGACTGTATTTCTGTCTAAATGTAGGTATTATCAGCCCATGCATCTCTCTGTCTTTCTGTCTGTCTGCCTATCTGTCTGCCTATCTGTCTGTCTGTCTTTCTATTCATCTTCCTCTCTCTCTCTCTTTCTCTCTCTTTCTCTCTACCCATCTCCCTTCTGAATCATTTGTCCTTATTTTGAGTCTCTCTCTCTCTCTCTCTCTCTCTCTCTCTTTCTCTCTTTCTCCCCCCCCCCCCCCTTTCTCTCTCTCTCTCCTTCTCTCTCTCTCTCTCTCTTTCGCATCCTCTCCATCTATCCAACTTCCTTTTTCTCTCTCCCTCTCCCTTCCTGAGTCCTCTCCCTTCCGATTCCTTTCCCCTATGCCCCTTTTCTGAGTCTCTCTCATCCTCTACTTCTCTCAACTCCACTTCTCTTTACAGAAATCCATCCATTTAAAGTTTAAAATAATTTATGTATTTCCTCCTCTCCACGTTCAAAGTTCCAAGCAACAGCATAATCATTTATCAAAACTAAAACGTCCAAGTGCGTGGGCATACAGAGTGCACATACTTCAAAGGGAAAGCATGACAATAGATTCATACGATGGTGGTATTGGGCTGACTTTACAGAAACCCCAATGCATGGGTCTACCAGAGTTATCTTCATAAGATAGTGATACAGGTGGGTAACAGGTGTCTATTTAACCAACTGCCGGGGTGGGGAGAGGTGGGGGGGGGGACACCAGTCCAGGGGCTTCCTACATCAAGCCTATGGGATTGAGGGGATTTGGGAGTCAACAGGTTAAGAAAGATACAGACCAAACAGCATGGATTGACCACAATGACGGGCTTCCACAGTTCTTGCATGAAAAAGACGCCTTGTGACATCATGTTGTGAAGGAAATGGTATGAGCATATGTTGTATTTAAAATTGTTGTGAAGAATGAAGAAATTATTTGGATTGTGAAAGTGATATAATGCTTTGATAATGTGAGGAAAAGAATAATATCTTTGGTCATGCATTCAGCTTGCATGAATGTCTACATCTGTAAAAGTTTTACTTTTCCTACTTCTCATCACATTTTGATGTATTCTGGCATGGCATATGGACATTTTTTTCAGGGAGACTGCTAGATGTAACCACATCCATCATCTAACCCCCATTCCTTGATTCCTGGACCATGAATCGCAGGCAGTCAACAGTTTTTTCTTTCTAACTCTTCAAAGAAATGCCTACTACTTCAAAACAAGGAATATAATTCTATTTGGCATATCGTTTAGCTGATTTTCCGGTCAGTGACCCACTCTACAGGAGCTCCATGGGCACCAAAGACCTCATGGGCAAAATAGAAAGCGATCAGAAGTGGTTGGATTGGGGAGAATTTCCAGCCTAGCAAGCAAATCCTTCAAGCTATAATAAGGATGAAAAAGGTCAGCGAGAAACCTTGGTAGAATAACTCCTTGGTAGCACCCTACACAGCATGGAAATACATCACATTCTCTGCTTACTTTTCTTTTTGGAGTGGGGAAAGGAAAAAAAGGATTAGAGAGAACATGGTTCATTTCAAGTTCAGCAGTATTATGGGATGGAAAGGAAATAGAAAGAACATGAATTCCATCACTGTCTTGTTTCAATATGAGCGACACCACATTAGAGCACACTTGAAGTTCCAATGACTTCTGAAGCATATCTTTTGAAGATGATTGCTATTGTTACAACACTAGATTTGCAAGAATATCACACTATCCACACTACTTTAGTCTCTGTTTTGGAAATTTCGTTTGTTGTTGAATCTCTAGGCCTGTATCATCTCCCGGTGAGGAGCAAGAAGGATGTTAACTCTAAAGTCTATGAACATGAGTTAATACCCTTCTGATCTCAAAAAGCAACCCTGTGTTAAAGAATTTGTTTGAACACCCATCTGGACCTAAATAGAGGGGGGGGGGGTATATCATTTTGCCTACTATATTTGCCCCTTTTCTTTTATCTATTTTCTTCATTTTTTGTAACTTTAATTCCCCCTTGAAAGTTGCTCACATGCGGGTATATAGAGGGCAGCACACCGAGCCAACGGGTATTACGCCTCCTTGCGTACTAGTGTCCCTTTAAGCATACGTCCATACAGGAGCATAATACCTGTTGGCTCAGTGTTCGCCAAGTTGCCTACTTCATGAACGACTATATACCCACGCATGAACATCTTTAAAAAATGAAATATAAAAATCATGCTTCTTTTCTACAGTTTCATCATTTCCGGATTATTTTTATAATTTGTATTTTCTTTTTTCTCTCAAAAATAGTCTAAAAATATAATATTAAGTGCTAAACCAACGTAATATAATCAACCCATTAATTTCCTTGAATCGTTGAAAGTGCATCTAGAAGGTGAAAATACAATAGAGTAGATAAACAAATGTGATATTTTTGAAAAGCCACAACCTACTTTCATTTCTCATACCTGGGAAGAGGGGGAGTATCCTGGGTTTTTAAAGTCACGTACAGCAACTAGAGAATAACTGATTAAAACTAATTGAATTGTCGAGCCTTTTCTGAGGTTAGCGAGGAGTCCTGG